CTACGCGAATGGGATCTCTGATTCCTGATTACACGAAGCAGAAGCCGCATATAGATGATGCTGTTGTTACCCAGTGTTTCCAAGATCTTGTCAAGCTGTGGGGAGAGAGTAAGGATCCCAAGATTACCGTCGAGTTTCTGAGAAACGAGTATCTCGAGCACCATGCTTTCGCTTGGTCTCACGATCCCTACACCGGTGGCGCTTTCGCTCTTTTCGGCCCTGGTCAATTCAGTTACATCTACCCCGAGTTCCAGCAGCTCCTCTGTGATGGAAAGTTCGCTATCTGCGGCGAGGCTCTTAGTCCTCATCACGCGTGGATTTCTGGATCCTTGGATAGCGGATACCTTACCATGCTGAGATGGTTATTCCATCTTGAGGATAACGATAGAGCTGATGCATTGAAGCAAGCATGGTTTGGACGCGGAAAGGGTGAACATACTGCTGAGTATGATGGGAAGCTGATGAGGTGGACTGTTGAGCTGAGCCAGCAAGCAGCTAAGAGGACTCGAAAGAGGCACTACTGAGACTGTTGAATGGCCCGGCTCTATGGAAGCTTCGTGGTGTGACGCGACTGTTTTCAACTGGCTACGCGAGCTCAGATGGAACACAACGAAGACGGAGAAGCTCATGTATGTCTGATGCACCGAACTTGAGATTTACGTACACATTTGAATTCACATGAATCGGAAACAATAAAAACCGAATGATGGTGTTTGTCTAAATTTGCTTCTGTGCAGTTATTCGCCGCCCCCTTTGGTTAGTGACATCTGATGGCGGCTGAGTTCTGGCTGGATCCGATCTGTCACGGTATTTCACAGCCTTCTTCCAAATTTTGACCATAGCAATCTGTCCCGTAAGCATCTTTGCAGCCCAAAACCACTTGGAGAATGACGCCTGGAATTCTTGGCCGCATCGGGATTGGATCTCGGCTTGATACATTCCTCACGCCCCATGGCCCGTCCCGACATGGCTCTATAATGTACTCCGTACCAGTTCACAAAGAGACAGTAATGATGAGTAATGTCAGACAAAGAACAACATAAATAGATAACATAAATAGATATAGGACAGCCTTAGCATCATTTCACATAGCTCGTACCAGGTTGTTCCGCTATTGTGTATAAGAGAAAAAGACATCAACAGCATCAGCGACGTTAGTTCAATTGCTAGTTTCTAGACTAATCGAAGCCAACCAAAACTGGATCTTGGGTCTTTAATCGGCCCAGTCCAGTCCGTTCCTCTATGCTGGAATGGGCTGGAACACCTTTGCGGAAAGGACCAAGTTTTGTAGTAATGCCATGAGTGGCAACTATGATCATACATAAACCTGCCGGAAGCGCAGTCGCGGCCGTTTAATTACATTGTAGAGAAACAGAGACTAGAATGAAGCATAGTCTTCTCCTCACAAGACCATCAACGCATCATAACTTCAACAAGTCAAGCAATGAGACTGACTTCATTCTTTCAATCTGCGGCGCTTGTCGTAGCCTCTCTCTCCGAGTTATCACAAGCCCACTACTTCACCCCACGTGGTTTCACAACCCCCAAGCGCAAAGAACTATGGCAGCCAGAAGTCGGGACATCATGGCAGATCATCCTCTCTGAGGTCGTTAAAGTTCCCAAAGCAGGTGTTAGCTCCATGACACCAGATGTCCCCATCTGGGATATGGATCTCTTCGAGAACTCCAAGAGCACAATCACCGCTATGAAGAAAGGAGGAAAGAAGGTTATTTGTTACTTTAGTGCTGGTTCTTGGGAGAATTGGCGTAAAGATAAAGACAGTTTTCCAAAGAAAGATCTTGGTAAGGTCATGGATGGTTGGCCGGACGAGAGATGGGTGAATATCAGCAGTGTTGCTGTGCGAGCTATCATGGCGCAACGAATCAAGTTGGCAGCAGAGAAGGGATGTGATGCTATTGATCCCGATAACATGGATGGATACGTGAGTCACCGACGCGACGCTTAGAGCATTCCACTGACCATCACTGCAGCAAAACGACAACGGCCTTGGCCTTACCGAGGGAGACACCATCTCATATGTCAAGTTCCTCTCTACAGAGGCAGCCAAATACAACATGGTTATGGGCATGAAGAACGGTGGAGACGTCACAGAAGAGGTTCTTCCATACGTTGCCTTCTGCATCAACGAGTCTTGCATCCAATATTCGGAGTGCGACTTGTATCAGCCATACATCGACGCGGGAAAGCCAGTCTTCAACATTGAGTACCCCAAGGGCGCACCAAAGGTGAAGGCCAAGGACCAGAAGAAGATTTGCTCTACTAGTGGTGCGGCAGAAGGATCAGATGGATTCAGTAAGGTTATAAAGAAGATGAATCTGGATAAATGGGTCTTGTATTGCTAAGGCTTACAGGAGCACTCGGTACTGGCAGAGATTTACTTTTGCGTTTCTTCTTGATTCCAGTTCATCTCTTGTCTCATAAAGTATGAAAGATCTTTCTGAAAGAAGACATTTGAAATGCTTCTCAGTGAAATGTAGACACGATATAGCGGGTCCAATTATGGACGGAGAAGACAGAGTAAGTCATAGTATGTATTTTAATGTCGTCAAGACAGAAGATAACTATATACGTGTAACGTATGGCTCAGAAGCCAACATTGAATGACATGACAGCTTAGTTAGTACCGCTGCATCCAACAAAGTTGTTGCCGGAAGCACCAGTGTGAGTAATGGCACCAGCATACTCGCAGTTTGTGTTGATAACAACACGGTCAGCCCCGGGAGAGCCTGAAGACATATCAGCAATTATTCTGGATTGGGATCTGTTGTGCAACCTACCACCAGTGTAAACACCGCCGCTCTTGATGGGGAACTCCTGGTAGGGACCGTCAACAATGAAGTCAAAGCCCTCGCGGTTGTTGTAAGTGTGAGGGTAGGTAGAGCTGCCAGCAGTGTCGTCGTTCTGGTAGTACTGGCAAGCAGCGTTGGCAGCAGCGCGGACTTGAGAGGCGGAGTAGTTGGTGCTGCCGCAGGTAGTGGCGGACTGACGGCTCTCAATGGGGCCGGCGACAGCCAGGCTGACAAGAGCAGCGAGAGAAGCGATAGACTAAGAACTGGGTCAGCATTTCTCTTACTTGGGTATGTTTTTGGAGGTATGGTGTACCTTGAAGAAGAGCATCTTGTCAATGAGTTTACAACAACCAACGATGGATGAGAGCGTGTAGGAATAGTTACATCATTGATAGAGTCCTCTCACAGATTTTATAGTTGATCATCTCTATGTCCTGTGTATACTCGGAACACCAAACATATCAGTCCATCCAAACCTCGGTGTCCCAAAACATGTAGATCTTCAGAGAGAGAGGCAGGTGGATGAACGCATGAGTCCGATTGGCCGCATAATTCACTAAGTTTCGAGATAGTATCACCACCTGCTTAATTCGGATGTAGGTCCGGCAGATGCGCAGATGTAGCTGGGCGTAGTCTGGCCAGTCACATCAAAATCCCGCCCCGAGAGCGGGTCGTGATCGGCATATAATTGTCTCAGCGAGCGCCCATGTGTTGCTCTTATCGCAATCATTGGAGCCCTTTTGTATTTCATCGTCGGAAATCGGATGTGATACGCCGTGTTAGCGCCAATCGTCTATCTTGTAATTCCGCTTCCTGTCGCAATCCCTTCATCCTGCAATACTTTCATGCTTTCTCTCCTTCGCTTTTCATCTCTCTCATTCATCTCCGCACGGAAAATGACCGACCTTACGAAATTACTGAGCGACAGCGCCATGTCGGCTCAACAGGCTGCTGAAAAGCTCGCGGGCCCTTGTCTAGAGGCTATCAAGAAGAATGAAGACGCTTCAAAGATTGAGGGGGAATTCGACGGTCTTTGGTCTTCGGTGCTCTCCGCTGCCGAGCAGACCCCCCACGACAAGCAAGGGAAGCTAGTGGAAACCTTGCATGCGATAAAGAGCATTCCGCAATCTGCAGAGACAGCCAAGAAGGTTGTCGTTTGGGGTGAGGAGAAGCGCTGGGATGAGCTACCCATGTTTGGGGGCAAGGCACGCGAGCAGCTAGACATCGGTAAGCTCCGCTCTCCGACAATCTCGAAGACTTACTGACTCTGATAAGCACAAGAAAAGTCCGATGAAGCTTTCGTCAATATCAACGGCTTCTTTGCGCGCGCAACTGCTGCTGGGGTTGATGACCTTAGCCTCTTCGCCATTTGGACCTTACGCGAAGCGCTTGAAGACCCTGCTGCTGATAAGATCTCGGAGACGTCGCCCAAACTATTGAAGGCCTCTTCTGTCTGGTTTATTTACGCCGCCGATGCTCTTGCAAAGGCGAGCAAGGATGGAAAGCAGTTTGACGGCAAAGTCGCCAAACCTGGCGCTAGCCTGACGGAGTTCAAGGACGAGGCCGGATGGAGGGGCTTCAACAATGACAGGTGGAAGGTCTGGCAAGACCGGTTCTCAACTCTGAAAGAAGCAGATATCCCTCAGGATTCTAAGTCCTTGGTAAGCCAGGCGTCGGATAGTCTCACTAAAGTCTAATAGATCGGCTATCAATGAAGTATTACTCTCCCTGATACTCCGCCGTGCTTTTTATCAAATTGCCCCTCCTGACTGTGAATTATGGCTATTGCATACAATCATTGCTCATGATCTCATCCGCGTTCGTTTCGTCGATATATGCAGAATATGCAGTGCATTCAGCGGTTTAATTGAGATGGGTTCTGTCTTTGGCTTCCACTAAAAGTATCTGATAGTAAGCCATATAGCAAAATACGGGCCATTGATGAGAAGCGCACAAATGCGCATGTCTCCCGTCTGTTGTTATGTTTTCTGCTTTGGTGTCATTAGAAAGATCTTACTGGTTGGTTGGTTGGTCCCGATCCCAGCACTTTCAACGCACAGCCTTATTTCGCACAGCCTTGTGCTGCAGGCCGACGCAACTCAGCCGCAATGGAATTTCCCCTCAATCAGCCGCCTTTGCTGACATTCACCATTCGTCAACGAAATCATGCTATCTCTGTAAACTATCGACATGGCGCTCTCTTTGCGAGATGGCGCTCGGCTCAAGCCTGATATTCGCCTTGCCCAAGCGGTTTCCGAGTTCGAAGCAGCTCTTAGCTCTGAGCAAAAAGTCGTGTTTAGAGCCTCGCGATCTTCAGCTGCTCACGTAGCCCCAACGATGTCTGATGTGATGCGCCTCACTGCCGAGATCGACCTGAAGGCCACGACCAAGCATGGCCGTGGAAGATGCTTTGGGCCAAGAATGACAAACCTTTTTAATGCAATCCAGCAGTTCGCTGCGCTTGGTGATGTTGTTGTTAGAGGTTCGCAAAACCTCATTGCGTGCGGTGTTTGGGCTGCTGCAAGAATGACCGTTCATGTAAGCGCATCCGAAATCGCATTCGTGACTTTCCCATTAGTACTAATCATGGGTAGGTCATAACTGGATACTTCACGTATCTGGAGAAACTTTCTCTTTTGTTTATGGCTGTCGGTCAAAACGCTCCGCGCTATCAAGCTATGGCTGCAATTTATCCCAAATCAAAGAACCTTCAACGCTATCTGTGCGAATACTTCATAATTGTCACCAGGCTATGCTTCCAGTCAATTTCATGGACACAGAAGTCCGCTTTCAGCCGACTCTCGACATCCATTAGCGACTCAGAAATGAAAGAATTGCAGTCAGAGCTTGACATATGGTCATCATCGATAAAGGAAGAGGCCAATCTCTTACTAAATCAGAAGGTAGACGAGGAGGCCAAAGAAAATGCGAAATTTCGCTCGCTCACAACATTTCTGTCCGAGTCTTCGTCACATCAGCGGAGAATTAAGACCTATACTCGTTTTCTACAGGCATGCTCCCAGTACGACTATCAGACCACGTGGAAGCAGACAAGAAAGGCTGGAACCACTCGTCTTTTAGAATCCTTCTCTGAGTATCAACAGTGGCAGTCTGACCAGTTCAGCCATGACTCGGTGCTATTCCGTGGTAAGCTGGGGGCTGGGAAGTCAGTCCTGTTAGCCAATGTCGTCGATAATTTAAACCTTCAGAGCAATGCGATCGCCTTGTATTTCTTCGCTCGGTATGACAGACCTGATGGCTTAAATGCTAGGACAATACTTGGGTGTCTCATCAGGCAGCTTCTGGAGCACTTTGTCACGAACAGGGACTTTGACCATATTTTCAAAAACAATACAACTATCCGGGACGCGGACGATATTGTGGAGATCTTCAAGCAAGTTCCGCCACACAACCAGCACGTCTTCATTGTCATCGATGGTGTTGATGAGTGTCCCATGGATGAGCAACATGCCCTGCTGAGAGCCCTATCAGTTATCCAGCCCCATGGCTACAAGCTCTGTGTCTCTGTGAGAACTCTAGAGCAAACTTCAACATGGAAAGGTCACTCATTCCGATTTAATGTCTCTATTCTAGAAAACAACCCAGATATCTCGGACTATGTTGAAGTCGAAGTTGCTAGACGGATCCAAGAAGGAAGGCTTGTTATTGAAGATCCAAACTTGGTCCATGAGGTTAAAGAGAAGCTTATATATGGGGCATGCGGCATGTGAGTACACTGCTGGTTGCTTCTCGGCTTTTTACCTGACTGTCGCTAGGTTTCTTTGGGTCTCACTGCAACTTGATTCTATTTGTGCTGAGATGACAGACCATGCAATACGCGAGACGATTCAAAATCTTCCACGGGATCTTACAGAAACTTTTGAGAGAAACGTTACCAAAGCCAGCTCAAGCGATACCAGCGGTTATCACATACGAATCTTCAAACTTTTAGTTTCAGCAAGAGAATTGCTTACGACCGAACAGCTTCGAGAGGCTACTAGCGTAATAGTAGGACAGACAAAATGGGATCCAGCAAGACAGATCAGTCGTATTGAAAGAGTCTTGAGGTTTTGTGGAAGCTTAGTCATGGTCGACGAGGAAGATGAAACGGTTCGCTTCATCCATCATAGTGCCCGAAGCTTTTGCCTCAATTCACCGAACAACACTGCCGCATGGACTTTCACTGAGGATGAAGCGGAGAGAGCAATGGCAGAAACGCTGGTGACATATCTTAGCTACAACATCTTCGACACAAGATTGAGCAGAAACGTTGTACCAAAGATTGAGGCAAACGATATCCCCAAAAGAGTGGCATTGAGCACCATCAAGACCAGTTCAGTGGGGAAAGGGATTACCGACCGATTTTTAAATTTACGGTCTCAACTCAGACACGATGTTGGACCTGTTCTCGCCGAGTCGGCCAAGGGCTACTGGAAGGATGATTCTCACCAATTCCCCCTACTTACTTATGCGAGCAAGAACTGGATTCTTCATACCTCGCATGTCGAATATCTTGATCCGCTATGCCGTTGGCATTACTTACTTCAACATCCAACGTTTGGCATTGATCTCACCGATATACCAGATAGCTTGCTCGTCCGGTTTTCAGTTGTACGGTTCATGCCATCAGCGAGCATCTTATGGGCCTTGTGGCATGGACATCTGCTACTTTTGAAGCATGAACTTTCCAAAGAACCAGGAGCTCGCAAAATTCAATCTTACGCAACGTTTTGGATATTTTTGCGGCATATTGCGCCTGGCTTTTTCAATGCTGATATGGACTATGGACTTGTCAGATGGCTATGCCGAATGCTTGTTCAATTACGCATGGAAAATCCAGCCAAGAGACAACTGTTGTGGCGTCTCTCAGTCTTTGATGAGTCTTACATGGAGATATTGCGAACTGCCATCGGATTATCTGACATAGAAGCGGTTATCGCCCTTCTATCCCGCGATAATCTTGGAAAAGGTCAGCTTCCTTCTCTGAGCGAGGCCTTGGTGGACCTAGCAGTCTCATATGGAAACGTGCCCCTTCTCAACCTTCTAATGCGGGAAGAGTTCGCAGTAGACATCACGGCTACCCTCTCCAAGATCGTTACATCAGGGATGCCAGAACCCATTGTAACACGATTTATTCAGCGTCTGCTTCTTCTTCAAGGGGAGATTCATCTATATTCCCTGTCAGATAGTGTATTCTATCTAGTATTCCAACAAACTCTGAAAATGCTGGGTCCCGATAGGATCCCGGAGCAACTAGAGATTCTACCATGGAGAAACTCAGAGGGTCGTCGCCGCAAGGTCGATCTCCTGTTACACAAAGCATGCATGAGAGGAGATCTTTCAATGGTAAAATTGCTGACTTCTGTTGGCTGTGATCCCAATGCCTGCACAGACGAAGGATCATGCCTTGACGTGGCGCTACATGGCATCTCACAGGATAGACTGAACATTGTATGGCATCTCTTGGGGTCCTCTGCTCTACCAAGTCACGCCACCCTTTCTCGGGCAGTATTACTACGGCAATGGGCGTTCGTGCTATGCTTTTTGCAGTTAGACATATCTTTCGATGATTCTTCATCTCCGCTACTTGATAGCCCATTTCTGGCTCCAAGTTTCAAGATTATGGTGGAGGATTCAGATGATATCGATTACCCATTTCTTGCCCGGACTCCCACAGAGGATCAAGATATTGGTATCATCACCGCTTTGTTACCACTACCACTTGTGCAGTCGAATTCTTGGGATGACTGGAATTTTTACTTCGTGGCCAACCTCCATAGAAAAGACGGATGGAAGCCAATGGTTCTTTCTGAAGAGGAATTGTTATGCGAAAATATTGTTAAGACATTTTGTTTAGAAGACATATCGAAAGAAAAAAGACAGGATAGGATTTCTCAGGATTCAGGTGGTCTGGAAGCGCCGAAAACAGTTCAGAGTTCGATTGAATTTATTCATTCGCACCCAGACCTCAGCCCTTGGATCAAGCTGACTACTCCCAACACTCTCTCAGTCATTGCAGAAATTTCTAGAAGATGGAGTTGGTTACTTTCTATAGAACCCAGCCACGAGTTTAATCACAGCTGGGCAATCGGAACCACTGAAGAACCATGGCATATGATGTGGGATGACTCTGGACGATTGCGTAGTCCAGGCCTCTGGCTGATGCATGAAACTATTGATACACTCGAGAAACGTCGCCACAACTATGGTCTCGTTCACGACGCACTTACCGATGCGGCATGGGCTATTGAAGAGCTCCAAAAGTCTTACCGTCTTCTACAAAATCTACCCTGGGGATCCCAGCTACGCGTTGCCGAAGAGAGGCTTCCCTTCATTGACTTGCCGCGTTTCCGAAAGCCGAATGTATCTTATGTTAAGGCATATTCTTTTTGCTTTGCCTATATGAGTGTTCGAATCCAGTGGTTAAGGGTATTAAGTATTCTTTCTATGAAAGGTCTGTTGGCAAAGTTTAGGATCCATACGGATATTCTGCAAGAACCTGGTGAGATGGCAATGCTTTTACCAGGCGCACTACAATTGTCGAAACACGAAGTCCCAACATATGCGTTTATGCCTGAAGTCCCAACATATGAGTTGATGCCTGAAGTCCTCGAGGCAGCATTTATTGGTACTGAATCCAAGCATGTTCTCCGAGGACTTATTGCAAAGCATCCCCTCTGGGTATCGGAAGTCGCCGCCTGGATTGAGACCATGGACCCAGGGATTTTCACCTGGTCTATGGGCCAAGATTCACCCCTTTCCTTCAGGAGAGCAATTCAGTCTTTTCGAGATATAGGCACAACCGAGCATGATATAGATCGCTTGATATACGCGTTAGAGATGTCCCGTCAAAGAGTTTCAGAGTTAGAATGAGGGCTTAGTCTCCTGCCTTCCTGGCTACAGTTTTCCCTTCAAGCGAAACACTGCCCAACGCGCCTTTGCTTTTGCATATTCCTTTCCATTCCCATCTTTGATAAATGCATGAATGTGGAATGAACTTTCGTCATGTGATATTTCCACCATGCTTGCAGTGATCTGGATAACCTTGAGAACTCGTAGCGGCCGGAGATATTGGATTTCGATTCCTTGTGTAGCGACCATATTTGTCACCAAGTTGAACATCCCATGGTTTGCCTCAGGTGAACACTTTCCAGGGACCTCTGTAGATGCCACTCTATGTTGCAGCCGGGCGTTGAGGATGCCGAAAATGCCCATGACATCGTCTAGAAATGTTGCTTGAACACCGCCGTGGCAAATGTCCCCAAATCCGCAGACGCCATCGCCCAAGGCGTAGAACACGCTGCAGGTCTCAACAGGTAGCCATCGCTTTTTCAATTTCGGGTTCAAAGACGTCGCGAATAAAGGGTCGTGATATAGGACGATGCGATGATAGATGGTCGACGGTGAATTGAGTGTCTTGCTGAACAACTTTCCGGTACTGCCACGGCCATCTTGTTTATCATCCAGACGAGGGCCGGCGACCGCATCGGGATGGAGGAACTGATCGCGATACCAGAGGATGTCGAAGAAGTGATCAAGCTCTTTTTGAGCGTCGGGCATAACTTTCGGACCAAACATCTTCAGCGTAAGATCTATGGAGTCAGGGAGTCAACCAGTTGATTAGTTGGCAAGATGTGAAGCAATAAAGGCAGCTCGGGCAGAAAAAAAGTGATTTATAATGAAGGAAATAGAGACATGAGTGTCACCGAGGCTTCGTGGCAATCTGATGGAGCCGAAAGCAAGGCATCAATGTCGTAAATTGTCTCCAGTGAAGCTATTTAGTGTGATCAGCGCAGCTGAAGGGCTTAGCGTTCAGGACTTGGTCGCTAAATTACCGAATATGGTGATCCAGACTGATAGCCCTGTTATTATAGAAGCGATCTTCACACATGATAGGGTTAGTACCACCGAGCCGGCAAAAGCAGGGTCAGTATGGTAAACATATGATGGAAAGCCCTTGAAGCTTGTTTCAGAGGTCAATGAATTTTATTCTCTTTTACATGTTAATATGTCGCAAATAAATTCGCGATCGTTTCCATGCCCAGAGTGATGCAGGACATCTTTCTACGACAGGGTGATCCCGTGGATCTCCTAAGAGCTTATCTCAAAGCTTGCTGGCAGTCCCTAAGAACAACATGGATCTGGAGATTCTTCACGGCAACATATCCTTGTTTACCTAAATCCGTGCCTGTCTTCTCCAAAACCGACAAGGTCCCATGTGTCAGCCAACTCTCCCAACACCGAATAATTCTCATCTATGCTTTCACACCAATCATCGTGCAGCAAGTCTTGATGAGCCTCCACATATCGAGAACGTTCAATATTAGATCGCATTTCTACATTACTTCTACACATATCAGCTCAGTGCACGACATCAAGGATACACCGTCCGCAAGCTAGGCCTTCAGGTCGGTTACTTCGACGGTGATAAGCACGAAAGAGATAACGTAAACACGTCCGATAAGAGTTCTCGAAAGCTCATATGGTCATTGGCAAGGACGGCTATAGTAAGGGCTGGAATGTCATTATGTTAACCTTCCAGCCAAACTAGAGTCCAGTCGAAGTGTTTGGGAGTTTGAGCTGGTGGATCTGGGGTTTCTTGAACATCACTTTATACTCTGTCACTTTGGACCTTTGGTACTACCTAGTTCACAGAGCAGCACGTGAAGTACGCCTTTTATGGAGATTTCACTGAACACATCATACCACTAAACATCCCAACATCCGTCTGACCGCATATGCGGATACGGAACAGAGGTCTGGGATATGGTTGGGGCTCCTGTCTTAGCCTACACCACGTTGAGGTATCTCAACATACCTTTCGACTTTTTTATGTTGTGGATATGCCTTCACTATATCGTTTACACAGGGATTAGCAGTCATAGTGGGCTCAGAATACTAATGTTTCCCTTGACCCTTAGCCCGTTGTTGAGCTACTTCAATGCAGAGCTATCTATCGAGGATCATGATTTGTATCATAGATACTGTTGGAGGATTGCAAAGAACTATGGAAAGCAGACAAGACTATGGGATAGGGTTTTTGGTACATGCAGCGTAAGGCTGGAGTCGAACGCCTCAAATATAGATTACAAGAATAGAATAGAAGTGCCCTTTTATTAAGATTACACTTTAAATTGAGATTTTATTTATTCTTCTAAATGACTTGACCGTCCCTGATTCTTATATTCAACTCGCTACTTCATTCCTATAAGCTCTTCCGTCTCGGTTGGTCGAAGAAAAGAATTGGTATAGCTCCCTGGCTTTCTCAATCTCAATTACAACTCTCCCCTTGGCATGATACCCATTCCGGTTACTGCAATTTCCGAACCACCTTGAACGTAATGACACTTGCCGAGGTATTAGCAAGAAGCGGTCCATGCGCTGGATCAGATTGATGTGACAAAGCTAGCAGCTCCAAGATTCTATCCCAGGCATTGCTAGTAACGCGGTAATAGAGAAGAATGCCGCATTAACGAGAGCAATAAGAGCATGAGAGAGAAGTGTAGCAATCATCAGATAGTCAACCCATGAGGTTGCCTCCATGTATAACAGTGATGGGTGGCTTTCAACATCATGCGAGTCGAGTTTGGCTTGAGCATCGACGGCTCAGGGAACCTCTCTTTTGGCTCACCTCATGGGTATCAGTCCAGAGCAAAATAAGCCTTCCACCAACTTGGTTGCAATCACAGTTTCTAATTCGAAAATATAGTTTACCTCGGGGTTGTAGGCCATGTTGAAGAGTGCGTTAACAGAGATCTGGCTGGAGCCATAAGTGGACGGCCAAGCCATCCCATCTAGCGGTTTACCTGGCGGCATGTGTGCCATCATATCAAATCAGTCGGAAGAGAGCTGAACTGTTGGCCTATCAGACTATATGCAACAGGAATTCCAACGTATAAAAGTGGTCCTTCGCCTTTCTGCAAAACTTATTGTACGTAATACATAGGATCTTGGAAGACCTACAACGGCCAACTCAGCAGATTCGGTAGAGGGAGTCTAAGCCATGAGCACACGGAAATGCGTACTGGAGATAGAGGCTATACAGATGAAACAGGGTTCATTTCTATTATATTTAAGGTCAAAATCAATCTCGCTATGACCTACTTCTTCAGTGTGCCCGCAATTTGAGGCTTGAGATACTTCGCAATGTAGTCATCGTTCTTCCAGCCCGACCAATCAGCCTTCTTCATTCCCCAAGAATCATCAAACTCCTGGATGCCCTGGCGAGTATAATAACGACCAACAATAACCCAGATAAACCAACTGGCCTTGATCTCAGGCAGATACTCTGACAAGCAGCTCACATAAGCGTTGGCGGTATCATAATCAGCACCGTTCATAGCTTGACCAAACTCAGTCAACATGACGGGGAAGACCTCAGCGACGTTGGGATCGCTCTCGTTCATGGCCTGGAAACCCTTGTTGTAGAGGTTGTAGCGAAGAGAAGAGCAGCTAGTTCCCTTGTTCTCGTAGTTGTGAATCTCAAGAACAAGCTTGTCCTTGCCGTAGCCGACAAAGTCGTCTCGGTTGAAGACTTCACCTCCTGGCTGGAGCTTCTCACCGGAGTAGAGAGGAGTAACATAGGTGTCGTAGTTCATGCCAGAGATGACGATGATTGCCTCGGGATCGGCCTCGTGGACTGCATCAGCACCTTGGCGCATATACTTGTAGAGATCACTCCAGTTGTATGACTTGTCACGGAGCGCATTGTTGTTTGTAGGTTCACGGGGCTCGTTACGCAGAGACTGTGTGATCTTGGCGGGCCATTTCTTGCTCTGGTTTTAATCAGTATTGAAACCTGGGGTACGGGGAGTAGTGAAAGAACATACGTGAGCTGCCATGTATTTGCCACCTCGAACCCAGTTGTCGACATTAAACTGGGTGTCTCCCCACCAAGTGTTGCCATCTGTACCGCCGCAACACCATTTAGCCTCGGAAATGTGGTTGTCAAGGTCAATGTAGATCTGTTGACGGAGACACTCAGCAGCAATGGCGTCGTAAACCTGACAACTGGTTAGTACTACCTCTATTCGCAGAGTGTTAATTAAACTTACCTCAAGACGTGTCGTCTGAGCGGTGAAAGAAGGGTTGTTCTTCAACACTTTTTGAAGAATAATTGTACCGTTCTCTTTTCCAAGGCCTTCCTCAAAGGCAGTCTTGAGATCAACGTCTTTACCATTGTTGGCATAGATCTGATCAACAAGCTCAGTGGCGAAGGTGAGGCGAATAGCGTTCATGCCAATGCTCTTAATATCGGAGAGAACATCCTTGATGGATTGATATTGCAGACCTTCAGGTACCATGACTTCGCCGTGGCCGGGCCAGTTGGCTCCAGCGAGGCTGATCTTGTCACCATTGGCGTTGACGATCCAGCGACCCTCTGTTTTGAAAGGCCCGTTGGGCCATGCTGCTACGGCGTTGCCGATGAGGCAGCTGAGTGCCAGGAGAGGGCTGACGAAAAGCTTCATGGTGGAGAAAGATGACGAAGCTGAGAATTTGATCCTGATTCGAAGGAACGAACTTGCATGAGAATCTCTGAGACCTTATACTTTTCCAATACGACACCAAATTAAACTCAAAAACACCGACGCTCCGGAGCGGACCGAGCGCCTTGGCAGTTTTCATCTTGAATTAGACGCGCAGCAACACCTGACGTATGTCCTCCTGAACTAATGGTACGAGCAACAGGGGTTACAACCGCCGAAAAGCTGGGGAAGACAGATATTCCCCCAATCCAGGGAAACAAGCTGTCGATCTTGACGCCATTCAGATGCTTGTCTCCCCCGCATAATAAACATCCAGCGTCCATGCGACTCCAGAGTGCTCTGTGCGCTTCGGCTCCGGCATCCCCGACCCCGCAAATTCCTGGTCAGAGATGCGGGGTGGCTATCACGAGTCTGAGTAGCGTGAAGGATCCTCGGCATTGGACGCGCTAGAATAGGAAATCTTGGGCTTCGGAGCATTTAGTAGCGAGAATACGATGGTGAGAGGTGCGGATGAATATGCGGAGATCTTCCCTTAATAAGGTAGATAGCCAGGACCATGCGAGCGAAAAGGCAGAATGATCCGCTCCAAAATGTCAAGCCGATTAGCCCGCTTAACTCACAACTTGGCAGCAATTTCTTCGTGGTAATTCTAACTCTGCTTTACACTAATATTTTCCCAGGTTTGACAAACACTCAACTACAACAACGCTCTACAGCTACGGTGGACATGTGATGTCACGTAAAACAGACCTCTTCAGGGTAGGTAGCTAAGATCCATCATAAACCGTACTGGCTCGTGGAGTCGCTTAGAATTGGGACGTACGTGCTAAAGATCTCATATGAAAGACGGCAGCTCAAGATTGAATTTCTTTTTTATATATAAGTGTTGTCATTTTGATAGTCATAATTGTCTTTTAGGCATCGTGAAAAGGCTTGGTGCCCACGCCGTCTAGGCAGCTGCAGTTTCGGGCTTCTGTCCCCAAACAACCTTTTGAGCAAAGTATCCGTGATGCTTTCCAGAGCGAATCTCTCTTCGGAACTGGGCGATATAAACAAGAATCTCCTCTCTCGTCCATCCAAGTGTATGCGCCATAAACAGAATAAAGCCCTCGCTATCTGTCTCGAGACCATACTTAGAATAGGCACCCATGCGCTTCTCAACAGGGTCTTTGGGCCAAGTGCCAACAGGGTTCTGTCACATCCGTTAGCATCCTAACTCAAAAGTGCGGAGGGATAACTCACTCTGAAGTCGAATTCTTGGATGTTGATAAAACCGGCCTTTTCCATAGCCTTGCGCTGAGTACCGTCCTCAACGACACTGAAGCTTGTACCAATCTTCTTACCGCCCTCTTTGAAGAATTCACCCCAGTGGCCCATAGCAGAGTTAGGGGCGACAGTACCATCATCGCTGCTTACGTTGCAGGAAGCTTCGTGACTTTCAATCCAGGCGCCGGGTTTGCAGACTCTGTAGGCTTCGGAGAAGAAGGCGTCCCAGTCTCGTACGCTGCCCATCAGCCATCTCACATGGATGTAATCGGCGAAGTCAGATTTGAAAGTCCATTCACGGGTACAGTCTTCGATCTCACTGGACTTCGGTTAGCGGGGCTATGGGGAAGGCAGATGGCACGAACAATTGGACGTTGGGAGGAACCCAAGAGGGCTGGATGGGTGAGAGGTCGGTCCCGATGATCTCAGCGCCAGGGTATTGGTCGGCGAAATCACTAAATATCTGTTAGATGGTTCAGTGGATTGAAGGGCGCAACTTACATAGCCCAGATACCGGTACCGGTACCAATATCAATAGCTTGCTATGTAGCAGGTTAGTATCGAATGGAAGAGGCACAAACGAGGAACTTACATGAAGCTTCTCTTCTTTGAGAGGAGCCAGGTGAAGTTTATCTCCAAGACCAAGGGTAAGAATATGGTGACTGACGGCATGTTAGTGCTTAGCCATCGGCTTGTACGGTGAACTTGCGTGAGATCCATCAAATCATTTTGCTGCTCGTCGTTGGAGGCCCTTTAAAAAAGTCAGAAACATGTAAAGGTCCAATTGAGGTTATGTCAACATACCAATATTGAGCATTTCCCTGCTCGCTGTGATAGGTGCGACCATGAATAGTTCTGTATTCCAGAATGCTTGAGGTGATGGAAGCAGTCGATGAGGCGTTATCCGGGTCAAGGGTTGAGTCAGCATCTGCATTGTCATCACCCTCAGCTTGTGCTTGTTCCTGTAGTATCCAATAAGCATCTCAATCACATCCTGTCAACTGAATCTACGCACCTCATTGACCTGCGCCCAATGCTGCGGGTCAAGAATAGGACCCGACGTGGCAGCGGGTGGAGAGGCTGCTGACTCGGTAGTTGCAGGAGCTGGAGACGCTCCAGTAGCCGCTGGGGCCTCGGGAGCAGCCGAAGCTTGGCGTGTTGGCTCAGGCGTTTCAGACATTGCTTGCTTCCACTAAAAAAAAAACAAGGCAAAACAGATCTACAGTTGCAATAACTGAAAGCGAAAAAAAGAGAATCAAAGCGTCAGCCAGGTGGAAACATATGAGGGATTAAAGATTGCGAGAGAGTGGACTGATTTGTTTGGCAGGGTAGTACGGACTAAATACTGCTCCGGGAGAACCCATGTGAGTGTAACTCTCACAATTGGCCTACGAAGGTCTCAGAGCTTCCTTAATGGGAACATCCCTTGGGTCTAGAATCGTGGCACTGAAGCATAAAGCCACCAGGGAAAATGGTTATAAAGTCGATGAAACCAGTTTTTATAAACATTCGAGTCACCGCTGATCTTCCTTACTGGCAATAGTTTTAAAAACAGTGCAAAACCAGACTGAAATGCGATGTATAGCTTGTTGTTCACAAAATTGATGACTGGGAGCTTGCGACAGTGGGGGTCTTGGCTTCGGATAGCACCCAGATCAGGCTAATCGCCCATTTCTTGGCAGGCCACGCAACACCTGGAAAAGATATCATCCAGTCGCGAGTAAAATGTTCAAAACTCATACGATTGTTACCAAAAAAATCAACTGATTACTCACACAACTCCGCCGCCCGCACATCTACCGAGCCTACACGCTCTGGATCCTCGATATCGCCAACATGTAACCCCATCGCCATACCCCGCGCCATGTGAACAAGCATGTGGCAGTGCAACGCCCATATTCCCGGGTTATCAGCCACCAACGCCAACACGACATGACCGCGCCGTGGTACACTCACAGTATCCCTTCGCACCGGAAACTCAAGATTCAAGCCGTTCGGTGGCGCCTCGTCTGTGTACGGATTATAACTGCCCCAGCTCCCACGACCTGGATTTCGGTATGATGATAGGACGTAGAATGAATGCCCATGAAGATGAAACGGATGCGCGCCATCATCCAGGTTGTTGATGACGATGTCGACTCTCTTCGGTTTGCTGCCCGATATCCCGATAAATGGGATGAGTTGGTTCTCGTCCCATGAAGTCCGGTTTTGAGCCAGTAAAGGTGGAGTTTGTGGCGTCCAGGATGTATGATTGATGAATCCGACTGGTGCATAGTCCATGTGCGCCAGCTTCTCAACCTTAGCGTAAAGCAGGATAGTCTGTTCTGCCTTTGCTGGGAGGTCCGATACCTTCGTTGCGGTTTTGAGATTCTGCGAGTCAAGGACCTGGATCTCATCTTGTTCCAAAGGCTGAGGAACAGGTTCATTGGATGATCCCTTTGTGCTTGAGCTGAACATTGGGAAGCTTTGGGTTGGGTTCAGTGCTGGGTTGGGATAGCCAAAGTTTCTGCCAAGCTGGTTAGCCTCCCATCTCTACCAATAGTGAAACAGATAGTAACGCACTCGTCATCAAGATAAACGGTCAGCCGATGGTCTCCCGCGTGGTTCCCCTTCCACTCAACCTCGAGGTCAACTCTCTCACCAGGATAGAGAATACCAACTGTTTCAGTAGCTTCAGCTTTGACAGCGAAGCCTCCATCCACGCAAACTGGTCGAATGATTGCTCCACCAACTCTTAGGGAAAGGCCTGCGACGGAGCCTGCGTTGACAACTCTAAGTCTGGCCTTCTTCTGGCCCCTAGACATCACGAGGGGCTTGAGGTCACTAAACTGGACCTGAGAGCAAGCAACTGGTCTCGCAGGAACAGCCATGGAGCAGTTGAAGCGTCCTTGACCATTGAGCAACAATGAATCTGGGACGGGTTCATTCCCTCGACTACTCGCATCAGCATACCAGCGTAGTACTTCTGTTTGATTCTGGTGAAACCAGTCGCTGACCATGAGTAAGTATTCTTCACGTTGCAAATCAATCTCATCTGGTGAGTGTACGATCAGACCTCCCCATAGGCCGTCGGCACGTTGAACATCGGAATGGGAATGCCACCAGAAGGTCCCATGTTCTTCAGCGCCAATGGTGAAGTTGTAAGTGAAACTTCTGCCGGGAGCGATAGGACATTGTGTAAACCCAACAGCACCGTCCATACTGTTCTGGTATTTCATGCGCAGGCCGTGCCAATGAAGAGATACACCTTCATCTTGAACGCCATTGTGAACATGAATCACAAGTCGGTCACCAGACCGGGCCTCGATGAGGGGTCCTGGAAACTCATCTACGAAAGTCAGTGAGTGTATGCACCATACTTGACGAGGACCTTACTGTTGACAAGGTACACTCTTTTCTCAACTCCATCTGGAGATCTGGTCCCAGCTGTAATAGTCCAGTTGAAAGATTGTGTTGTTGGGGGACGTGATGCATGACTCTGAGGATGGAGTCGGTACCCAAGATGACCGGTAGCATCATCGCTCAACTGGTTGCTTAACGGACCATGCAATACCACTACGACCCCGATTGCCGATAGTAGTGCGACCACGATAAGAGCTGTTATCCATCTCCAACCGCACGTGCGACACACTGAAGGCGGGGTTCGATCATCTCGGACCTTGACCTCCTCTCGCAGTTCAAACTCCTCAAGCAAGGCATCGGCTTCTTCATCGTGAGCGACCATTTTGACTGCATCTTTCAACCCAAACTCTCAGAGCGCATGATCGAAGCTCTTTTGTGATGGAAGCGAGCGAGTTTCAAGTCCCATTTTCGTGCCGTACATCCGCATCCCGATAAGAAATTCCCGAGCGCTTGTGATCACAGATCTCACAAGATCCCCCCACGAGATCAATCCTCGCACGCTAATTGGCTCGCCACCCAACAGCACCATCGGTCAGCGAATTAGTTAGTATTAAAACAAGACCTCCCAACTTAGGAAAGATATTCAACGTTGCAATTTACATCCGATGCATGATCATCTCATTCTTGCTAATCAGATGGATATGATTTGAAACGTGTGAGTTGAGAAATCTTGTGATCATCGCTTTTGGAGCCAGATCTTGCGGTGCTACGCTACTCCACCGTCGACGAGGGTTTTTTTTCGATTCTGCTTTTCGTACGATTATTTCCGATAAGGACGAGGGACGTATAAGTTGCCAAGATGTGGCAGTGTCTTGAGTCTTGGCTCCTCTGGTTTTACCAGCTGGTTAAGGATTGGCCTTGGTTATCAGACATGATTTTCTCTCCGAGACTTCGTTGGGCCCTAACGGCTCTGTTGGCGGCTTCGAAAACGGCCAGGACTGAGAGCCTGGCCGATATCGACCATGTCATCTTGTTTATGCAAGGTGAGATGCCTTAATGAGTCTATTATACCAGCTATCTAATGTGTCGATAGAGAACCGTGCTTTTGATCACTACTTCGGTACTATGCCCGGAGTTCGTGGCTTTGCTGATCCAAACGTCCAGTACAACAACGGCATCCCTGTCTGGAAACAGCAAGTCACCCCTCAACAGAGCAAGGACACTGATTACATCACACCCTGGTACATCAACTACCTCGGTGGAACATGGCCTGAAGCTACTCAGTGCATGAGTGCCGGGTCCAACGGCTGGGATGCCAACCAAGCTGCTTGGAACCATGGTGCCAACAACCAGTGGGCAGTCAAGAACACTCCCTACAGTATTGGTTACTACAAGCGCGATGATCTTCCTGTTCACTTTGCTCTTGCTGAGGAGTGGACCGTTGGTGATATGTACCAAGAGTCCGTCATCGCTTCAACCAACCCCAACCGTGTCATGTGGATCAGTGGATCCATCAACGTCCCTGGCTCACCACAGACCAAGGACGAGGGTGGATACCCTTACATCGACAACAATGAGACACCTGGCTGTGACAAGAACGGTATCAACTGTTACCCTCTCAAGTGGTCTACAGCTGCTGAGAAGTATGAGGCTGCTGGTGTCTCATGGAGTGTCTTCCAGGACGCAGATAACTTTGACGACAACCCTTATGCTTGGTTCGAGCAGTTCCAGGATTCCAAGAAGGGATCTAACTTGAACAACAAGGGTATGAAAGGACAGTCACTGGACGCTTTCTACGCTCAGGCCGCCGCCGGAACTCTCCCTGAGGTCTCATACATCGTTGGCCCCATGCAGCTCTCAGAACATCCTCCTTACTCCCCACACGATGGCTCTTGGCTTCAGCGAAAGGTTGCTGAGGCTGTTATCAACTCCCCCAAATACTCCAAGTCCGTGTTGATCGTCTCATATGATGAGACGGGTGGCTGGGCCGATCACGTTAGCCCTTACACTTCTCCCGATGGTACGGCTGGCGAATGGATTGATGATCCTTATGGTGCAGCCGGCCGCACTGCCACCGGCCCAGGCTTCCGCGTTCCTTTCTACATCATTTCACCTTTCACCCGTAAGGGCGGTGTCTACACTGAACATTGTGATCACACTTCTCAGGTGTCCTTCATTGAGAAGTGGCAGGCTGCCAAGGGTCGAGATGTAACCACTGATGAAATGGTTCCCTGGCGTCGCGAGAACATGGCTGATCTCGTCAACGCCTTTGACTTCAAGAACCCTGACTACAGTATTCCCAACCTCCCTGAGGCTCCTCAACCACATACCAACAGTAAGGGTGTCTATGATGGTTCATCATACTGTTCTTCTCAGTACGGTAACGGCCGGCCACCTGTTCCCTACACTGGTGAGGGTGCCAACAACGACACCGCAAGCCTTGCTGAGGCTGGTTTTAAACCTGTTCGTGGACTGCTCACTGAGGGTCGCACCCTCGTCCTGGAGTCTTCCGGCCAGGCTGTCAGCGGTGCATCGTACGGTAACAAGGTGTCATTGAGCAAGGCGTCAAAGAACCACGATAACATCCAGCATGGATGGGTTCTTCACGCCGTGGATATCGGCGGTGACCAGTTCACTATCAGCTCTGCCAACAACGGCCAGTACATCTGTAAGAACCTCAGGCTCTGTAAGGACTCTGGTTCTGCTACGGTGTTTGTCGTGGACTTCAAGCCAAGCAAGGGTCATTCATTCAAGGACCAGAAGTCTGGAGAGTATCTGGCCATTGGCAGAAAGGAGAAGCTGGGTTGGCAGAAGAACGAGACTTTCTGGAAGGTTTTCAGTGTCACTTACTGATCCAGAGGAGATCTAGAAGACATGGCATAAGTAACTAGGAAATAAAAGAATTCAAGGACCGCAATGGCCAAGAGATCACATAATATTTGCTGTAAAACTACCTATCTTTTCAAGTCCCCAGAGAGGTTCACTGGCTACCAAGTAGTATGTATGTGACGATCGCAGTAGACAAATACAGGCTGTTTCGTAGGGATTTGTCATCTACAAATCGTGTGTCAAGCAACTGATCCTGATGACCGCGCCTCCTTACCGTAGATAAACCTTGTCCGCCGCTCCTTTTCCTCCCGCTTGATGCGACACGGATCGCATTCAACGTTGCCCTTTTCAGTATCGTTATCCTTCCATATGCCAATTGAGCATTTTGCTTCCTTTCCGTGCCCATTAACCTCGCGGCACCTGTCTAGGAAATTTCGGTGTGAAGTTTCTGTAGTGCATGAAATACATTGTATAGATGTGCGAACAAGACGACACATGGTTATACTAAGTCTCGCCGGCTGTAGATAATAATGAGAATTGCGGTGCGAACTTGAAGCTTGAAATGTTAGATAGGGATGTAGTAAGTTTGTTGAAGTTTGAAAGTAGAAGGATGTCTCTATTCTTATTGCTGTGAGGGGGATTATGTAGTCCGCCATTCTGGCGTTCACTAGTGATTCAATGCATGGCCAGTGACAAACGTGGTGATACACACAGGCAAGGACCCTTTGTCACTTCCAGTGAGATCTGTGAGTGAATGTGATTTTGTGTCTAGGGATGCTTCGGAAAGGTCTACTGAATCCACAAATCTTCGTCATCCACTAACAGAGTATCCAGCAGTTTCCGCTCTTCTTCAAGCTCTCTGATCTCTTTCAAGCACTTGGTGCATTCCCCTTCTCCAATATCCTCTCGATCAGGCATAAGCCGGCCTAATCCACAATGCCCCCAATCAGACTTTTTCTTGACGGTTCTGCACAATTCTACGTCGAATTCGCATGAATATTTAACTCCGCAGGTTTTGCAAAGAAGTGATATCAAGGTTTGGGAACACATGTTGTAAAGAACAGCTTTCCTTTCCGATGACTTTATCGGTGGTGGTGTGAGATGTGAGGATGTATATGGTCTAGGGCAGATGATTTGTAGCAGATGTTGGTGGAATTAAACAGGTGAATTTCTATTGATAACGGTCAATTGGACGAAGGCGACTCTTTATATAGTTCTTTCTCGTTGAATCTAGTAGTCATGCGATGTACAGTCCATTGCGTGCAGTGATGAACTCATCAGCAACAGCCTCCATTCACGTTTAATTATTGGCTTAACCTTTTCATGAATCATCGCCAGGCCTGATTAGAAGGTGCTCATATTACTCATTCTGATATAGATACGACCACGCTTCTGAATCTCAAAGCGACTGGGCGTGGTATCTCGTTCACCGTATTCTTAGACCCTTCCTCCCGAGCTATGTCAATTCTACCAACTCCTCCAGAATGGTCTCGAGCGCTGCCTTTCTCTCTTCTTCCTCGCGTTTCTCACGGCACTTGTCACATTCTCCTCCCTCCTCCTCTAGTTCTATTTGCATAACTCCTGTGTCGCATTCTCCCCACTCAGCCATTTCTGGTAAGTTATCGCAAGTGTCAGTGGTTGAACTAGTCTTGTATGGATGCCTGCAGGTCGAACAGAGAGTCGACGAATAGTACATGTAGCACATTGTGAATGTCGTCGGGTGTATTATTCTCGCTTATGTCTTTCTGTAAGAGCTGGGTATTTAGATTAGATATTTTGGTCAGGTTGAGATTGCTGGTGTTGAGAATTCTGAGATTGAAGATTCCCACGGTCCGCCAAGCTATGACAATATATAGTCGGGCTGACACTGTGGTTCACTGGTGAGTCGCCTCTGTGATACCAAAGATTCAATCTTAAATAAAGCTTATTGCTCCTAGTATATCTATGAACTGCGGTATTCTCACTCACACATTCACAACATTTATTGGCAGCAAGCAAGACGAGGCGCCTTTGAAGGTATATTTTGTACTAATCCAGAGCCACTATAGTAAACATAAATCGGATAGGATTACATAAGATATTTAAAAAATTGTAGAAATGAATAATGCCGCCCTATTCATTAATATCCTCCATTACTGGAGGGAAAAGTCATCGAAGACGAAGTCAGGGAACCCACTTGCGTCTGTACACTCAACAGTGATGGACATGGATTCAGCCGAATCAGCCGCTGTGAAACTGTAGTCAAAGGATTGATACTGATACGCAGTGACCTGATCATCAAGCTCAAGGGTTTGAGACACTGAACCAAAGACAATTTTGAATGAGCAAGTGCTGGGAACGTATGCAGATCCAGCAGACCAGTTGAACTGGAGAGTATACGCCCCACCTGCATTCAAGGAACCAGCCAGCGGTTTGGTGAGTGTCGCCGACTTCTTGGAAGATCCAAGTTGGACATACCTAGGCTGAGTTAGGATACTGTTACATAGAATTAAAGTGTAAGATACTCACAGGAAGTTGTCGCCTGAGTTAGGTGAGGGGCCGTCAGCTGTGCTTCCAGCTCTGATCGTCATACCCCTGGTGCCGAACCAAGCATAAGTACTATCCTCAGTAGCTTGTATCTCAAAACTGGGATTCTCAATGAGTGCTCCTGTAACGGGATATGCCTCGCAGCCGCCAACTCTGATCAGTGCCGTATCATCGACGTAGACTGATCCTACCTCAAGGTCATTACCATCACAGACAAAGACAATTTGAAGAACAATGCTACCGGCTGGCATTTCGAAGCGAACTGAGTAGAGAGTGTAGCCAGTCGATGAAGTTGCTCCGAACTTGACTTCGGCTGCGGAGAATCCAACCAGGTCACTATAGCCGCCGTTAATATAGCACCGGCCGCTATCTGGTAGGGTTTTGGGCTTCCAGAAGAAGTGATAATCATAGGTCTCGCCGGCTACAAGATTTGAGGAGTCGATGTATTGCTCGAGGAAGGTACCATCGCTGCGAGTTCCGCTGGGGAGAAGTCTACTGATGGTTAGTTACAACTTTCCTCAACCTAGAATGTACGAGAACATGAAAACTTACGCCTCTCGCTCTCCGGTTCGGGCGTTGGACACATCTTGCACAAATTCTCCCCTGTTGTAGAAGGCCCATGCTTGGTCCTCGTCATCAGCTTCAAACCCGGGGACTTGAACAACGTTCACAGGGCAGTGAGGAGCCTCTGGCTGTGCAGGCACGAGGAGAGTAGACTTAGGGGGAGCATTGGGATCGACGGGAGTAGCATCGCACGCGTTGGTAGAGTCCAGAACCGAGGTGTCATCGATGTTGATTGTAGCTGTGTACCCGTTGCCTACACCAGGACAGGAAACGCCAATCTCGATAGCTGGGTCCAAGTTATCCTGTGCAATGAAGCTCGAGGTGTACTGGTGGTATTCAGAGTCAGACGGAAGCGGCACCTGCTTCAATGTCGTGTAGTAGTCGAAGGTAGCAAACAGGAAACATTGTGTGCTGACGGACGGCGGGTTTGCGACGGCATACCAGAAGCTAACTGTATATTCTGAGCCTGGAGTTATATGAATACGTTGTTCCATGCGACGTTCTTGTCCGTCGGGGACAGGTAGAACACTTTTTGAGATTAGCTTGCGGTTTCAATAAAGGGGGAATGACAATGTACCCTAGGTAATCACCAGTTCGAGCTTGGTCGGGGTCGTATTCAACATCGCCACCGCCCCAGTAGAATCCCCAAACAGACCCGTCGTCTGAAGCCTCAAAGCTGGGCTGTCTGAGCAGGTTGGTGGGCTCAACACAGACCGATGTTGTGGTTGTAGGCTCTGACGAAGTTGTTGTGGTATCCGCGGTGGTGGTAGGGTTGGCAGTTGTCGTAGTATCAGCAGATGTCGTGGATTCATCAGACGTAGTAGCTTCGGTAGAAGTCACGTCAGTAGAAGCCGAGGTTTCAGCAGTAGTAGTCGGGACGCCTGATGTTGTGGAGTCGACGGATGCCGATGTCTCAGTAGACATGGTCGAAGCACCAGAGGTCGTGGACTCGGCAGAGGTCACAGCATCGCTTGACGTGGTAGGGCTGCCAGACGTAGTGAGGTCGACAGAGATCGTGTGACTGCTGGAGGTCTCGATAGTTGAGACACCTGAAGTTGTCGGGTTGCTTGACGAAACAATAGTTTCACTGCTAGACACGGATTGAGTTCCAGATGTCGTAGGGTTGGTAGCAGTTGTTTCGTCAGACGAAGATGCGTGATCTGTTGATGTTGTGGCGATAGTACCACTTCCCGAGGTTGAGGTCGAGACAATCGGCGCCGAGGTCGGTGTTCCGGAGCCGGACTGGCTTAGTGAAGTCCTGGTCGATGGGCGACACAGACCTGCGTTGACACCCAAGAGGTTCGCTGCTGCATAGGCGACTCCGATAGCCTTGAGCGACACCATCTTAAAAGAGTGACTATTGAACGAATGACTATTTCACAACTTGGTGAAAGGAAGGATGCAGCGTCAAAAGCTGACTCGACAAGGGACCAGCCCGTAACATATATCGTTCACGAGAATGTCGGAGAGAAAACCCCGTATAAAACGCCAAGTCGCGCCACTTTGATTCGCAGTCGAGTTATTCCCAAATTGTGAAGGTGAGTCTAAATCGGTCGTTAAACGCTGACTGTTGACCAGCTGAATTACATTTAGTGAACTCGTGAAGGATCAATAGTTTGGTTGACCTTATTTAGTGTAGAGCTGAGATTGGTCAGGATACTTAGTGTGGATCGGAAGTAGCTGTATCGAGCCGTTGGGGGCGTTTACCTGCTGTGCCTTGCATATTTAAAATTATCTACCCCTGAACTTTTGGCTTGGCATCCTCCTTCTTTATTCTTCGACGCTATCGATTTCAACACAAACCATTGCCTGTTGCTAAACCTCAATCGATATCAGCCTAAATAATTGCGTTTGCAAAACCCCTTAAGCCCGGTGATGCCGGTGCATCTTGCGCTAAATGGCATGATCGAAAATCGGTTTGTGAAAGTTGCTTAACGGGTTAGTCAGCCATCACGTCCCTGAGGCTTGCTAGCGCTGTAACACAGACTTGTGATGCATGTTAACATCTACGATGAGATCGTGGCTTGTGGTTTAGTGCGCAGCATTGTGCAGCCATACACGGTTGTCAATAGTGTGTGCAGTATTGCTGAGGTGTAAGTGAGTCAACATGGTCATTCTCTGGCATCTAAATTGACCTTTGCCGTACACTCATGGTCTTGAGGTTTTAGTGTCGGCACCAAGTAAAGAAAGGTCTCTCTACTGTACCCTGGCATACTGAAGAGGCCACTGGACTTCCACGCCCAACTCCTTCGCAGCTGTCAGCACAAAACCCGCATCTCGTAAAAACTGTCTCCCAACCATGACCAAGTCCGCCTGAGGCTCCTTGTATTTTTCTTTCTCTGCGTTTCCGTTCGTTCCATGCATCTCCGGCGCTGCCTTATACCCAGCATTTCCTTGAACGACATTCTCAGCCATGGCGGGGTTGTCGATGAACCCCACTGCAGCGATTAGCAGCTCGATGCCATCAGCCTTGATAGCCTGTCGAATCTGATATGCAAGATCGATCTGATAGTAGGGGTGAACGTCGATCTTTTGGTCGTTATGGTTACCACCAGAGGACACATCAAGAATGTCAACACCGGCCTCAGGAAGAAGCTTTGCGAGTCTGATGGAGTCTTCCAATGTCCAGCAACCCTGGCCGCTCCACTCCATCCACTCAACGGCAGAAATGCGCAATGAGAGAACAACAGTCTCAGGTATGGCATTACGGACAGCTTCAAGAACACGGAAAAGGAATCTTGTTCTGTTCTCAAAAGAACCACCATATTCATCCATTCGGTGGTTCGTGAGAGGGGAGAGGAACGCGTTGATCAAATATCCGTGAGCGCCGTGGAGTTCGATGAAATCTTCAACAGTTAGTTGCAAGTCGGTTATTGGGTATGCAATGCTTACCAACGCCGGCTTCAGCAGCTCTTCTAGCAGCACTAGCAAACTGCTCAACAGCAAGATCAATCTGCTCCCAGCCCATCTCTTTCGGCATAGGATATCCAGGGCCATGGCAAATTGCACTCGGTGCCCAGACATCATTCGGCCAGCCACCTTGTTCCTGACTTGCAAGTGGGAAGTGCACCATAGGGTCGCCCTTGGCAAGCCACGGCGGGAGCATAGAACCCTTCTGACCAGAATGACAGAGCTGGACGCCCGCCTTCTGTCCTTGGGCATGGACGTAGTCAACAACTCGCTTCAAAGGTGCAATTTGGCTATCCTTCCAAAGGCCTGAATCTCCAGTTGAGACCCGACCATTAGGAGCTACGGCTGTAGCTTCAACAATGACGAGAGCTGCACCTTTAGTGGCGAAAGAGCCGTAATGGACGAGATGAAAGTCAGTCAGATGTCCATCTTTGGCACTAAACATGCCCATGGGAGAGACGCCGATGCGGTTTTGGAGGGTAAGCCCACGGACTTGAAGAGGGGAAAAGAGCGTCGATTTGACCTCATTCTCAGCGAGCGGTGTGCCAGGCATAGGTGACATGCTAGGGTATAATGGGATGGTCTTTTGAAATGACATTTTTCAAGGCG